AAAAAAAAAAAAAAAAAAAAAAATCCAACCCTGACGCCCATTTTTTTTCCATTCAACGGGGATTCAACGGGATTCAACGGGATGACAATTTTATTTTGCTCCAGGCGCGTCCAGCGATGTGTCCGAGGCCCGATGCACCCTCGCCGTGAACAGTATTCAACGGGGAGGGCCCGTTGTACTATTCAACGGGGATACAACCGGGCCCCGGGGCCTATTCAACGGGTACAACGGCGTTGAAACTTTTCCGTTGCACAGGCCGGTGGTGGGCCAGATACACTCTGATGGATGGAGGTGCAACTAGAAGCTATACGGTGTAGCAAGGCCCTCAGCTTCCTCCAAATTCCACTGTTAGGCACACCACAAAGGTTCCTCAGGTGTGATGGGCGACCCCTTCATCCCCGGGGATTCATGGATGGGGGCCACCTTGCAATGCACAGCACTCCAATCAAGCCCAGTTTACTTCATTAAGGAATCTTATCCTCGAAGACCCACACTGCATACCGTAACACTGGAGTCTCACCCGGCCCCAGTCATCTCTGCCCCGTCACTATCTGCGCAAAATGAGACGGAATCGTCTCGTTGAAGATGCGCCGCCATAACTTGTCTTTTGTGCATGTGGTGAGTGGTCGAGCGAGGTCCTACCTCCCTACCTCCATACTCCGAATCAAAAATGCAACACTGGGCCTCACTCCACTACAAGACACTCCACATGCACTTGAACAATTCTGAACCAGATGCATTCAAACAAGTCCAACATTCTGCACGAGACACTCCACATGCGCTTGGACGTTTTCTGGACCAAGTGCATTCAGACAAGTCCCAACACTGAGTGAGACACTCCACATGTACTTGGGACGCTTTCTGGACCAGGTGCATTCAGAAAAACACAACACATGCACTTGGATGTTTTCTGGACCAGGTGCATTCAGACAAGTCCAACATTCTGAACGTATCCGGTCCAGAAAGCAATCTAAGGCATGTCGAAGGCATGTTGCATGTTGTGGTGAAGCGAGGCCCAGTCACTCCAGATCAAAGAGTGACCGGGCTCGCTCCACTACAAAACACTTCTCTACATGCATTTGGATGCTCTCTAGACCAGGTACATTCGAACGAGTCCACCATTTTGAACGCATGTTGAGTCTTGTGGAGTGGACCGATCCGCACTCCCTCTCGATAGAAAAGTCAATACTCACCCGATCAAAACGGCAACACTCACTCCCGATCAAAAAGTCAACACTCCCTCACCATCAAAAAGTCAACACTCGCTCCCCGCCAGAAAGGTAACACTCCCAGGTCACAAACGCAAATCTCCAGAGAGAAACGTCAAACACATCTCACTGAACATCTTTCCTGCATTAAGCTCGTTACGCACTTCAGAGAATTGTGACGATACAAGGCATATTTACACTAGCACTTTCCAAAATGCATCTGACAGCCATCACCGCCAAACCTGGATGAATCTCACTTCCAGAGCTTTGTCAAACAATCCTGCGAGTATGTCCTCAATCAGTGGCCTGAGCTCGGTAAGCTATGCACGCGTTTTCGGCGGACTACGCAGTTCCGGCACAAAACTCTGTGGAACTCAATCTGTGCGAGGCATATGCAGACCCTAGACCCTAAACCCTGGACCCTAACCCCTAACCCCGCTAGCGCCCTAAGCCCCCTAACCCCGAAAAACCCTAAGCCCCCTGAACCCCCAAAACCCTAAACCCCCAACCCCCAAAACTCCCTAACCCCCAACCCCCCTAAAGTGGGCCTAAACCCCCTACCCCTAAAGGGACTCAAACCCTCTGGAGGCATGCATGGAACTCATTCCGGATTGGTCTGTTTCTTTGTGGATGGAACTCATTCCTTGGAACAGCTCAAAACTCCATAGCATAGCAGTAACACAAACTTTACCAAGGTTGGTTGGCCATGGATCTCGCCATGTTAGTTAGATCACAAATGCCAGGGCACACAAAGGGCCTCTTTCTCTCTCTCTCTCTCTCTCTCTCTCTCTCTCTCTCTCTCTCTCTCTCTCTCTCTCTCTCTCTCTCTCTCTCTCTCTCCAAACAGCGGCTCAGAACCTAGCGTCCTCGAGCCATATCGCCTACCATCTGCACTTGCGGAGCGTTCTGTGAACATGACCAAACAGCGGCTCAGAACCTAGCGTCCTCAAGCCATACTGCGGCTATTACCTCCTACCATCTGTACTTAGGGAGCGATGTAACCTCTCTCTCTCTCTCTCTCTCTCTCTCTCTCTCTCTCTCTCTCTCTCTCTCTCTCTCTCTCTCTCTCTCTCTCCTCATCACACTCTTCCTCTCCGCCTTTGGTTTCCATATCTCTTCTTGAATTCGTCACATCAACCTGCAACAACAGCGAACCCCACCGTTAAATAATTTCCGGGCCACCACTGGCATCTTCAGTTCACCGCCAATCCGCCACATCATCAACACAAACTCATCGGGCACCGCCAGCCAAGAATGTCATTCACCCTCGTCATCTCCATGAGACCGCTGCACTCACCACGAATGATCTCAAAGATCCAAGATTATTTGACCTTCGGTATTTTTACTAGATGCTGCAACCAACGGGTAATCAGATTGACAGCCTATTGCATACCTTTCCCTCCCCTGTCCTAACCGTAAAACCCACCCCTTTTATGACCCTCCCAGCCCCACCTCTCGTTGCTGGGCCTCCGTTGCAGGGGCACTGATGTGTTATACATAATTACGTTTATAGATAGACATGCAGTGAAAGACCCGAAAAAAGTGAGTACATGTCCTTACTCCATCCAATTCAAGCCTTTTTTTCAAGGTGCCGCCATATATTGTCCTTCACGTCGTTCTTGTTTGTCAAATTGACACCGGATAACTACCCAGCACTCGCAGAAACGGCGCCAATTCCTCCAAATTCCTCAGAGCATTCTGCGCCCTCGGCTCAGCCATGGACGCCTGGAAATCCACATAGAAAAGGTACTCAAACGCCCTATTTCCACGTCCCTTCACCGCTGCTCCCGCTGCCGATGCTGTCCCCCCCGCGCTGCCTGGGTCGCCATTGAAGTGGCCCCACACTGTCCGGATGGATCTGTTTCGTTGCGGCCTGCTCTCGATCTTGCTGAGATTGATCCCTCGCAAGGCGAACACCGCTAGCGCTTTGAACAAAACGCCAGGTCCTTCCTCCAGTGTGAACACGATACTGGTCTTGTAATGGGCGCCAATGTGTGGAATCAACGGCTCTCGCGCGAGAGCGATGAATCGCGTGATGTTGTCGGCATTATCCTGTATGCCATCTGCCAAGACGGCCAGACCGTAGATCTCCCCCGCGCGGCTGCTAGCAATTGCAGCGGTGTCGAGCAGTTTGCCCTGTGCGACATGCTTTGCCGCACAAGCAGTGTTGTCCACCGCTTCCCTAACGATGCCAGTGCCGAGAAGCGATGTCAGAGTGCAGTCACACTGCGCCAAAGCTTGAGGATGGCTGACCACCTTTTTCACATCCTTCATCTTTACCCCTGGCAGCACCAGGAGACAGTGCTGCACGTCCACCATAACTTCCCCGACTATGTGAAGTTGGTGTCGCAACAGAAGATCGTAATTCCGGTGTATGCTGCTGCCCAACGAGTTCTCGATGGGCAAGACGGCACGATCCACGGCCCACTGCTCTACGGCTCGAAACGTCGCTTCGAACTGATCGCAAGGCACGACCTGGCAGTCAGGATAGGCCAGGTGAGCGGCCGCCTCGCTGTAGGCTCCGGGGATGCCTTGGTAGCCGATGCACAAGTGCGACCACGACTGGGATCCTGACGGTCCATCTTCCGCCACACCCGTCCTCGACGATGCCGAGAGCGGCACCGGACCGTGGCCATTGGTCACTTGCTCGCGATCGTAATCAGGGACGACGTTCCCGCCGCTGACCATATGTCTCTGCTCCATCAGTTCCCTTCCCGCCTTTGTCCCCGATGCCGCCAACACCATGTCAGACTTTTCCGCCATCATCATGTCAGACTTTCTCGCCGTCATCATGTCAGACTTTCTCGCCGTCATCATGTCAGACTTTCTTGCCGTCATCATGTCAGATATTCCCGTCATTGCCCTGCAACCAGGGGCACAGCAGGCGTTGAGATCGTGGTGACACTGCCACAGGCACACATCCAGATCCATACGATCTCCTGACCATCCGCCACGTGGCCACCAGCGCCGACTGCCGGCGGCCTTTCCCCCCACCCAGGGCCACCCTCCTTCGGACCTCCGACAACACGCGATCTGACGCGATCGGATCAAGAGTGTGTCGCCACGTGGATGCTTCAAAGAGTGCACTGCCACAGTGCCTCGTGGATGCTTCAAAGAGTGCGCCGCCACGTGGATGCTTCAAGTCACGTGCTGATCGATGTCCCCCTCTCCTCTCCTAATCGGGACCCATCCTGCGCGAATGCAAAATACCTGACCTCCCAAGCCGGAAATGGTCCATCCCTTGCGATGACCAACGGGACACGCTCCGTTAATGTCGAGCACCACGGACTGCACGCGATTGTCGCAAGACTCTCAACTGAAACTCAACCACGTTCGCTCCCGATCCCAACGTTAATGGCCCCCCGCACTCGTCAAATTCTTTACTACACCCACCACCCCTCCCGCTTCCCCCGCCTCCTACCCTGCCCTCCCTCTCCCCCCTGCCGCTGCCCTCCGCGCTTACCTCCGACGTTCGCTAGCGGCGGATGGTCTTCCACTCAGCTTGAAAAGTCAGCAGGACAAGATACTATGAATTAGGACAACAAAGGAGGAGAAAAAATAAAAACTTCACGATGAATTAGGACAAGAGGGGAGAAAGAATGGACAAGATACAATGACTTAGGACAACGGAGGAGAAAGAAGACAAGATAGGATGAAATTATCATGCCGAAGCAGGGTCAGGTAATGGCCCGGGTCTCTTGTTTGTACCATTCATATGAAAATGACAATATAAAAGCCTGGAGCACAAGGCCCTTTTTCTCAAAAAAAAGAAAAAAAGAGAAAAGAAAAAGGAGGCGCAAATGGATATGAATCAAGAAAAAAGAGAGGGAAGGAAAATCAAAACAATAAAGGGGAGAAAACACAAAACACACATTCAACTATTTGGTAAACGGAAGATCGTGAGCTCCAATCCTGGCCCGCAGAACCAGGCTGGACAAATCATAATACAACAATAATACTTTTTTTTTAATTTTTTTCTTTTTTTTCCTTTTTTTTTCTTTTTCTTCTTTCCCCCCCCCCCCTTACTCGACAGAATAGCAGGTTTTCAAAAGAAAATCCCAGACACACGGCAGACGGTAAGATGACACGGAAAGTGAGAGCCCTCTGCTGTGAAAGGGGAAATCTAGCCACAGACGGCCATCTTGTGTCCGAAATCTCTCCGCTTCCCTTTTTTTTTTCTTTTTTTTTTTTTTGAAAACCAGACGGACGTGCCTCCGGAGAGTGGTGGTAAGAGAACCATTACTCCTGAAAACTCGCCCTTTGATTACTCCTTTCTATTGGTGGGGAGCTGCACCTGCTGGAAAACGGGTCCGCTTCCCTTTTTTCCACACCCCACCCCACAAATTTGAAGCCACTTGTCTGGCCTTCTAATTACATCCATTCACAATTCCGTCATGTGACATCGAGCACATCACTTCTCTTCTCTGACCTCCAGAGCGTGCACCTTCATTATCTCGAAACGAAGTCTAACAGAGTAAACGTGGACCAATCCCCTCGTCCTGTGCAGGCATATAAGCCTCACACAGCCTTTCACGGCCTCAGGCTGAACGGACTTACTGCTGCATGTTGGAAACGGCGAATATTATACCCTCCTCACAACAGCAAAGCAGGCCCCAATTTCAATGTGCATTGCAGCTAACAGAGGCACCAGGTGCTGTGTTGCAACAACCCCCACAACATCCAAAGCCAATAATATACAGCCAGAAAAAGTCGCAGAGTGCTCCGACAAAAAAAGATTGGCAAACACTGTCAGAGTGTCCCATCTAATAATGTCATTGTGCTCACAACACCCTGTGCAACTGCTGAAAGCTCTCTGCTTCATTCAACAGAGGATCACCACCTGTTCGCCTTCCGTGGCGCTTCCATGAGACTCCTACTCAAAAGGACCTTCCTTCCATACACTCCACATGCGAAACTCCTACCCAAGTAAACCACCCCTGCCGCATACCGAGCAAATACTACTTGAAAGAAACACCGCATGCGTAACCTGTTCACAGAAAATACAACTCTTATCCAGAAGTTACGCCACCTGCATAATTTAACACAGCATATTCAGCAAGCCTTTCCTTTCCATCCCTTGACACTGATATATATTGTCACGTGATATCAGAGCGCCTAAGCGAAAAAACCAAAAAAACAAATATATATATACCCCTCGTTTGTTGTCCTCTTCTCTCTCTCTGCCTACGGTTTACCGGGCAGTTCTGTTTGTGACGATATATATAATATATATATATATATAGGGTTCAGCCTCCTGATGAGTCGGTGAAACTCCGACGAAACAGTTTG